TATATATATATATATATATGAGCCATTCCATGCCAAGTCGTACACTTTTTTTCAGTCGACCTCTCAAATTTCTTTCGTTTTTTGCCTATTTGTAGCACATGATACTGGATTATGAAATCGAAAGAGTTTACCTCAAAAAGTGCTCTGGCGGCAAGAGAGAGTAAAATAGAGAGAATAAAATAAAAGAAAGAGAATGCACTAGAGTTAAGGCCAGTTCTTACATGCCCAGTAATAATTCGTTAATATTATGGAAGTAAAATACAACTTTTGTAGCAAAGTTCCGACGTTTAAAGCATACTGGATTTTTATAGCAATTGTCTGCGGCTTTCAAAAGTGACTCAGGATGGTTTCGTCATCCGAATACATGGAATTACTGTGAAAACAACAGGTTTTTTTCATTTGAAAATTCCTTTCTGGCTCATAACTCTCGATACCAAAAAATCGCCATCACCAGGATTTGGTATATTGTAGCGTAAAAGATCTCACACAACATATTTCTTTTTTAAGAAGTTTAAAAACACGTTTTTTTTTCTATTTTTGGTTGGAATACTATTTGTGCTATATTTATGTGATTTTTTATCAAAATCAAAGCATTTGAAACGCATTCAAAAATTCAAGACATGATAAATCTAATAAATGAAAACACTTAAGTTCTATTCAGGATAGGGTAAATTAGAAGTCTGCAAAAGTTGGTATGTTAAGCGGCAACCTGGCAAATTTTGCAACTTTGAGGGGATGTAACTTGACGGGAAATTCATTTTTCCAGGTTTTTTTCGAGTTTCTGTATACTGCCTAGACTCTACTAATCAGCAAAATTTGAAAAAAATCTGATATGGAGGGACAAAAGTATGCGATTTGGCATGGAATACAGCCCATATATATATCCAAAAAAACTGCCAGTAAAAAAACCTTTTAAATTGTGCGATGATGGTAGTCTCAACTGTGAACGGAGCGAACGAATCGTTGATAGCAAAGCGATCCCTAAACTCATCTCAACTTCTAAGTTTCGATCTACCATTTTCTCATACTTTTCCTGCAACATTCCTTCAATGACGCTCACATGCTTTGATACTGTAGTCTGTTAAAAATGAAAACTTGACATATCAAGCGCGTGAATAACTGTCCAGGATCAACCTATGAGTACCCTACAAAGTTAGTTTAAGCCTAGCAGTGGGTTATTTCTTAAAAGTGACTAGTGCGAAAGAAAACGAGGAGAGAGCAACTAAGCAACATAAAAGAAAACCGAACCTTTTGTAAGATGAAACAATCTAACTTGAAAGAGTCATCAACCTTCACTTTTTCGAACAGGTAGTTGGATATAAAAGGCATAATTACTGATAATGCTGCAAGAGAATTGTGTAAGACCAGCCTTAGTGTATCTGCTATCTCAGCCAGCCTCTTTTGATCTTTTTCTCTAAGAGCTTTTTTCGTGGTTTCCTAAAACAAGACCTAAAATAAGTAAAGCAATATCCAGTAAGATATAAGTTGTTTCAGTTAGTTGTTTCACATCCAGATCAGCTGTAACTGTGTAAAAAGAAGAAGCCAATGAAAAACTAATTTTTAATTATAACTTTGTTTTCACCTCGGTAAAATAACTTATCATATAAAGAAATAAAAATTATTACAGGCTATAAGTTGTGAGCCGAAAGCTACAAATTGTAATCAGAATATGAAAAGGAAACCAAATAAAAATCGCAAAGTTCCCCTTGAATAAACTTTTGGAGACCTGTCGCCGCATGATGAGGAGTGAATCCTTTAATTTGTGGACCAAAGTCCAGAAGCACACTCCCAAGACGGCTTAAAATCCACCGGTCCTGCAATTCACACCAGATTCACAAAATGTAATCAAAACAGTATATGTACTTAGAGGTTAGACTAGTTCACTTTAATAACTACAGTGAAATCGGCAGAAAACAACTTCATATTACAGCAATATTTGCAGAAGCAGAAGAAGAAGAAGGAACACTTGAGCCAGGACTGGCGGCAAATACCATTAAGGAGTAATTGCACAAGTTCCACAGCTTGTTACAAAAGCTGAAAGGCATTAAAACTCAAAAGGAAAAAACTAATACACCCATAAATCGTCCCCAATAAAAAATTAAAACAGACAAGACGCACCGATAACCTTCACTTGCAGTCTCAACAATATCAACATTTATATCCAAGCCTGTAATATCATGCCTCAAAAGTGCGAAACGAAGAGCGTCTGCACCAAATTTCTGAATTCCATTCGGAAACTCATTACGTACTTCTTGTTTAGCTTCGCCTTAAAATATTTAATTAAAAAAAACTAGAGCGTTGAAAAAAGTATATAGCTATGAGATACTTTTTTCATGATCAGGAAGTGATGACAACTCCACCCGTTCCAACATTTCTTCTAAACTCCGACCATCAATGACGTCACCAGGTTCAATAACGTTTCCCAATGACTTACTCATTTTTCGACCTTTACTGTCCCTGATAAGCCCATGAAGAAAAATCTTGTCAAAAGGATAATGCCCGCATAATCTAAAAACATCTTCATCAACATTTCTTCCAGGAGGTATTAGCGTTTCTGCGGTTTTTTTGTGTTGGATACACAAATGTAGCATAAGAATAATACCAAAATTTAGATTTGAAAAAATCAACAAATCCATGTATAAAAATCTTCTATTTTTTTATTTCGATAACTTCTACGGCTTTCACGCAAATAAAGGGTGAATTCGTATTAAACTTATGACTTCGCAAAAATAAAATCTTTGAATAACAAACAATAAAAAGTCTGTTATTCGAAACGTTTCATGAACAGAAAATTACTAGTCCAAATCCTTTATAAACAACTTTTATAATCTTGGAACAACGACAAAATCGTGCTTCATCTAGAAACCGCCATTTAAGAAAAAAGTTCAATATGCTATGAGGTATGGCGTTCTAGAAACGAATATTGGAAATATCAGTTTTAAATAAGTAAACCTAGAATATTTCTATAAAAACATCAGTAAATGAAAAGAAAAGTCTATTTTACTGTCCACAAGCGACAGAAAAAACGTACTGTTCACAAACTGTAAGCATTCGAACAACCCAAAAGCCAACGATATCGTAGCCGGTTTCCATTAAGGACAAACAATGCGAGTTAACCCTTTTTTCAGGCCAACCTTTAAAGCAGCCAACAAATAATGATAAAGAGTAAACAGCAAGTCAGTTTAAGCAAAAAAAATTTACCTGCCAAGACGAGCGGTACTAACGAAGAGCTAAACCATGTATCAAGAACATCGTTATCTTGAACTAAAGTTTTTTCCATCAAAGACTTGCCAGAAACTTTTTCTGCCTCTTCGGCACTTTCCGCGACAAACCACTTGCTTAAAGCAATAGCTTCTTAGAGCCACAAAAAGATAGCAGAGAAAATTTATGATATAAATAAAAACTACCTTACTTCCCACTAAGATAAGCTGGTATACGATGACCCCAAGTTATTTGCCTACTGAGACACCACGGTTCATTATTTTGCAACCACTCTACTAATTTTGAAGTTAGGAAAGACGGTTTCACTATTATCTAAAATTCAATTAACAGGAGGAGTAATTCATACAATTTAATCATTTCGTTTATTTGTCGTGAAAGATGCCTGCAATCAACCTTCTGATTCTCAACAGCTTCAAGTAAACGCCTATTCATCTGCGAACAGTCCAAAAACCACTGATCCTTCACCATTGGTTCGATCACGTCTCCGGTGCGGCTACAAACTGCAATGCTTCCTTTGTCATGCTTCATAATGCCGTCATAAGCGTTAACAGCACGCAACTTTTCAATGACCTAAAAAAGATTATTTAAAACTATAACACCAAGTTTATAAAAGTTCCCAAATTTAGAACTTTAAAAGTCTATATCAACTTTTCCAAAAAAGTCAAACACAGAATGACGCTTTGAAAAGTGTTATCAAGTTCCAATAATAGAGAACTAAAACAAGGTCCATTACTTTAGAAAAAACATACTATGAGTGAAAACATTATTGTGGAAATCTCAACGATCAAACTAAAATTTTTGCCAACAGTTGCAGAGGTCAAAATCTACTAATTTTCATAAATATTTAAAATTAAACAAAGTCAAATAAAAGTAAAAAACTCCAATCATATTCTTCCAAATTCAGTTTTTTTAGGTTCCATCACTTAATAAAGTCATTTTTGGCAATCAAAACTTTTTTAATACAAAAGAAAAAAAATCATATAAAGGAAAGTAGAAACCAGGAATATGGTCAGTTGGCTTCTATTCTTTCCAGCCTAATAATAAACCCTTAAACCCCCAAGCAAGCTGTAGGAGCACTAGACAGATCAAAGAGATGCCAAAGAAGCCGAAATATTTTAGCCAACTGCCCTGAACAACTCTGACTAGATTTCTACCGCATAAAGCGTAGTAACTAAAGCGAGTAAAGACCAGAGAAGTTACTGAAAAAGATTCAAATTTCATCACATTTAACTCTGCATTTTACTTTTCAAGTGACAGTTTTCTGGTCATGTTCTGGATTATGCAATCACTAGAAATAAACAATAAATTTATTATAACGAATGAAGTTGACCTAGTAGCAAAAATAAGAGAATTTCGAGGCAGTTTTACAAGCATTTGTAGAGTTATAAAAAATTACCACCTAATTGTTTCCGGTCTGTTGCTGTAATTTTATATTATAATCCTTACTCTTAAAGAAATTAAATTAATGTGTGTTAATGCCTTATTTCCCCAAACTTTCAAAGTGAAGTACGACTAGACCAAAACCTTCTTGAAAAATGCAACTATTTTTTCTTTCAAAGCCCCATTAAACTACACTTTTGTAGACAAATGCAAAAAAATTCTTAAATTGAGATTCTACTTCACCTTTTGATCCTCTAGGAATTTGAATCCGAAGAACTATCAGGTCGAACATCTAAGAGGTCATATTAAACAAAAATCCCTAAGCAAATAGAATATAATCAGTTGTACGAGTCCGGAATCGCTAGCTTGTAAAATAAAAACATATATAAGCCTTTCCAGCCAAATCGCACAAGTTTGCACCTCGACTTCTCAGATTTTTTCATTTTTTGCCAACTTGTAGCCATTGGATACCGGATTTCAAAATCGAGAAAGTTTACCTCAAAGTGTGCTGGCGGCAAAGTTAGACCATTCTAAAGTGCGAAAAAAACATGCAATTTACTCATGGTCACAATATTTTTTTCACTTCGCAACAGATTTTGCTGCTCATTTTTGCTTTATTTGAAATTAGTCTCCTGCAGATTCAGAAAAGTGGTGATACTTAAATTAGCAAATTTTATTTTAGATTAAAATAAAAACAGAAATTCAAAATGTCTTCTCTCAAAAAGCAAAATTTTAAATTCTTTAAAAAAGATATACTTTTTAAAAAAATAAATTTAACGTCAAATATAAAAATTATAAGGTAGCATCTCTTCGGCATCGAGAGTTACGATGCGATTAGCGATAAAAGACTGGAAAAAACCCTTGACTGAAGCAGCATTTTAGCGCTTTCGCAAGTCTCAGACCCTTTGTTTCAAACAAAATTTTATTTGTTTCTGTAGTATATATAATTCTTATAAAACTTTTCAACTCTACTGCTCCCGTAATAGACAGTCAGGTAAGATTTATTTACTTTAAAACAAATTCACAAAATTTTTTTCAGAAAAAAATTACTGTTATGACTTTTTTCGGCTTGTATGGCTTGCTTATTGAATCCTTCTAATCCATATATATCTCACTCAGTACTTTTTTTTACTGCGAGTATTGTTTTGCTAGTTCTCTTCTCAAAGCTTTCTCTTGTCTTTCATATTTTTGTGAAAGTAATAGAATCACTAGTATTTCTTCTCTTTAGTTTGGAGCCTATTTGTAAAGGTTATTCTGAGTTAAGATCTAGGCTGAAAGTTTCTCTTTCATGCCGGCCATCGTTGCTATTCTTCTCAACATGCCTCCAAGTCTCAAATTAATACACTACTGCAAAAACAGAAGAAAAACAATACTCGCAATAATTTCATTACTTTCACAAGAACATGAAAAGCAACGGGCACTTTCAGCGCCGCGTTTTCGAGCGCATTCACCAGTCAAATGTATAAAAAATTTAACTGCAATGTGCTACAAAGCCTTAAAAACAAAAGTAGCAAAAAAGTACTCGCAGTCCAAAAACAGTATTGACTGTGATGTATATGGATTAGAAGGGCCCAATAAGCAAGCAGAGCGATACAAACCGAAAGTAATCATGACAGTAAATTTTTCTAAAAAAAATTCTGTGAAATTTTATAGAAGTAAATAAATTTTAATTAATTTTCCGTTACTGAAGTAGTAAAGTTGAAAAGTTCTAAAAGAATTATATATACTATAAAAACAAATGAAATTTTAATGAAAACAGAGGGTCTGAGACTTGCAAAGGCACCAAAATGCTGCTTCAATCGAAGATTTTTCCCAGTCTTTAATTACTAATCGCATCGTAACTCTTGATGCCAAAAAGTTACCACCTTGTAATTTTTATATTTTATGTAAAAATTATTTCTTTGAAAAACATGTCTTTTTCAAAAAATTTAAAATGTCGCCTTTCAAGAGAAAGCGTTCTGAATTTTTGTTATTTTATTTTAAAACAAAATTTGCTAATTTATGCATGTCACCATTTCTCTAAACCTGAAGGAGACACGCCTTCAAGTGAAGTAAAAATGAGCAAAGTTTGTTGTGAACTGAGAAAAATATACGTTGTTGAATGTGACCATGTCGAGGGTGAGTTGCGTCTTTTTTTCGCACTTCAGAACGGCCTAAATTTGCCTCCAGCGCACTTTTTGAGGTAAACTTTCGATTTCGAAATCCGGTATCCAACTGCTACAAGCTGGCTAAAAATTTAAGAGGTCAAGATGCAAAATTTTGCGATTTGGCGTGGAATGGCCCATATATTTTTATGCAACATCGGAAACGTTGCGCGGATCATTACACATTTAATCGATTTGAAGATGTCGCTTAAGGATTTGGTAGTGAATGAATAGAACTTATGATGCCTTTGGTCGGACGTCAAAACGATCTTGGCCATCGAAATCCCCTGCATTCACTAATTTTCCCATCTCGTCAATGCAGGAATAATTCATTATATCATCCGGAAGCTTCTCCAAGTGACGTTGAGCAATTTCAAAGTCAAGAAAATCATGCGATGGAGTAATTTTAAGGACACCTTAAATTTAAGTGAAGCTCATTCATCACAGTTAATTTAAAGAACAATGATTTGTTCAGTTAATTCTTACCAGTCCCTTTGTCCGGCACCACAGCTTCGTCACCAAGAATCGGTAAAATGCGACTGTGCACTAAAGGATGGCGAACCATTTCACCTATCAGATGACAATAACGACTATCGCATGGGTTGACCGCCAGTGCAACATCAGCGAAAAGCGTTTCTGGTCTCGTGGTAGCGACTTCAACACGCTCTCTAGATCATAGGAATCAGAAAAAAACAGAATAAAACGCTGTTTATAAAAAGTTAACAATACTCAGAAAGGAACCCGTAAGACAAGTAGAATATTTCCCTGCACAACCAAGTAAGTATCCTTTTTCAAGCAGTTTCTCACAATTACTTATCGTCTAATATATCATTATAATAAGAACTTGGGAAAGAATGAATACTACCGTCGGCTGAGAAGCTCATAAGCTATTTTATGCATCTGGCCAACTTTAATTTTTCGCATGCCATCTTTATGAGGCACACTAATTTCGTTCAAGTCTTCAAGGCTGATATGGTTAACCTCCTGCAAAAAAATAAACGAATAAAGAACACAGTAAAATTTCCCTTGAAACTTCTCATCTCAATACCGGTTAGAATCAAGATGCTTTACCATAAGCAACTAAATAATGAGCAAAAAATTAAATCCATAAATTTTCAAAAAATACTTAATGACCTCATCTGATAAAGCACTCTGAAGTGATGGACACCAGTTAATCATTCGTTGAGCACGAAATATGTTGCCGCTTGAATGCAATTCAACAAATGCTCTACGAACGGCTTTGGAAAAACGCTGAAAAGAGGTGCTATTTAATTAGGCAAAACATCAGAGCAGAATTACCAAAGAAAAACGTACGAATTTTTTGAACAAAAAAAGAAATGAGAACTTAATCAAAAAATTAGCAAAGCACACTTCATCCATGGTATAGTAAGCAGCTTCCATATCCAGCATAATTCCTAGATCACAAAACTGCTTCTTCATATCATAAACACGGCTATAACAGTTGGTTTGAATAAAA